AAAAAAAAAAAAAAAAAAAAAAAAAAAAAAGGAACAGAAAAATCTTGGAATTTCTAGCAAAATAAACTTTGCAGAGGATCTAAAAGATGGTGACCACCTAAATTCAAACTCTTTCAGGGACACTCTGAACATGAGTTAGATGAAGGCCCTTTCATGCTATGGAGTGTCAAGATGGAGGCCAAAGCATGTTATTGTTTTGTTTCTTTAGAGTTTCTCTTCACTATAAATAAAGCTTTAGATAATTCATTTGACTCTCTAATAAATTTGATTTGAACTTATATCTCATGACACTCAATCCCAACCCAATGGTTCTCAGCTTGGGGACCATTTTGGTACCCACACCCAGGGATTATCTGGAAATATCTGGAGACATGTTTGTCACAAGTAGGGTGTTAACCACTCAACTGGTATCTAGTGAGGCCAGGGGTGCTGCTCAACATCCCACAATACACAGAAAGTACAAACACAAGTACATTCATGTACACATATGTACACACACTCACACACCCACCACCACTACAAACTGTTATCCAGCCCAAAATGTCATCAGCAGCAAGGATGAGGAACCTTGCTTGAATCTCAGAAACAGTGCTAAGGTCATTCAAGAAAGGACATGCATCTAAGACTCTTCCTGTCCCTTCATCAGTTTACAAAGACAAGATGAGATTTTGGCACTATGCTTCACTCTGTTTGTCACACCTTTATCAAATATCCTTTACAGAGATTTCTGTGGAAACTAAATTTCCAGCAGAAAACAAGAAGAGGCTGTTACCAAATGGGGCAACTTGGCACTGTCCACAGATCACAATGAAAGGGGTCACAGTACCTTCCTGGGAATAGGACTGATTTGTATTTGGATCACTAGGAGGCAAAACCTTTAAAGCTCTGTAACAAAGCCAGGCAGAGGTGAAGCCCATGACAGAAAAGTGTTTACTAACTTCTCTGTGGAAGGGAACAAGAAACTGGAAGAAATCTTATGACTGTTTATCAATCTGGTGTGTAACTGACAAGTAGGCTAAGAATAAGGAGAATTAAGTTCTATGACCAGGCCGACACTGGCTAACTAAATTTTATGACTTTGCTAGAACTCCAACATCCTCATTTATAAAATGAGAGGCATTCCTCAGTAGACTGCAGGGAGGATGGCATCTAACATGAGGCACAAGAGGAAGAGCTGTGGGCTTCCCCCATCTGTCTCAGCAGGAGCAGCTCTCCTATCCCTTGCTATACTTCCTCCCAAGGTGGAGTCGTGCTACTTCTAAAAATAAAGTCTAGAAAACAACGAACCTGATGATCTTGGAGGCCTGATAGTACGTTAAGAGTGACCTAAGTAAGCCTTTTATAATCTATAGCACTTGTGTCCCATTACAGTATTTATTAACTTACATTCCAGATTATAGTTCATTTATCTTTCTCTCCTACTACCCAACATAGGGCACCCAATCAGGGTTTGCTGAGTCAATGTATTCTCAAAATCAAGATATTCTCAAAGAGCAGATGACAAATAAGACAGTTAAAAATGAAACCCAGGGGGCGCCTGGGTGGCTTAGTTGGTTAAGCGTCCGACTTTCGCTTAGGTCATGATCTCGCGG